CAAAATCCAGTTTTTTGTTTTGCTTTTTCCAGGTTTGATATGACAAGCATTGATATGACAGTAATGGAATGAACTTTTCATCCGATTAATCTTTCTTTAAAAAAATAATCAAAGCCGAGCGTCAATGCTAATTAAGAATGCTGCTTATCTCTCCTTTCCTATAGAGTTGCATTCACATTGCAAAATCAAAGTAATCCGAGTTAGGAGGGTCTTGTCCATGTTTGCTTCCTCAAGTTAATTCAGGAAAGTTCAGATGAAAGACATGGGGCAGTAGAAACCAAATAATGGGGGAGAGAGAGAGAGAGTGTGAATTATTTCTTTTTTGACCACTGAAGACATCGTCAGAGGGTGAATTATTTCTTTTTTGACCCAAAAAAAGTATGGATGTGACCAAAGTATGGAGCAAAAGAAAACAATCCGGAAAGAAATAGTTTTAAAAAATCCACGATTTTCGAATCAACACCAAAGTCAAAAAATAAGTGAAAGGACTAATGTTTTCCACCGACACCTCAGTGAAACTTCCTTGCTGGGATGAGTTCTCTTTCTTCTCACCAGAAGTGATCGTGTCCTTGGCTTTTCTTTTCTTCTTTCCTGAAGCCTAAGAAATTTATGTCATCAACTTTCAGTCTAGTATTTAATGATGCAGAGGGAATTGAACACATGATTACAATGAACTTCTTAATAGGGATTAGTTTGTGAGTTAGCATTACCAAACATGAAAATGAATTTTCCATTTTCCATCCTGCCACATTCTATACATTTATTTTGAACCCAATGCAATTTATTTTGAACCAAATAGCATCATCAATGAACAATCTTTACAAAAGAAAATTTAAAAATTGAGGATGAAGATTAGAATTATGTAACAAAAATAATAGTTTAACTAAGACATGTGCACAGATATATAGGGAGCAGGATAATTGTCCCTTCCTTCCTTGTACAGCACTTAAATGGGATCGACATGTTCTCAAATTCAGTACATTTTTCCTTTTTTTGGTCAGAAGACTCATAGCCATACTAACATTTTTCACGCATTATTTCACTACAACAGTATGAAAGCACAGCATAGAAAGGTTGCTCTGGAAAATGTTCTTTTACTCACTGCCTATAGGAAGTAATTATCCCAACACATTGAAACTAACAAGTTAATCCAAGTCTTAAGTAATTACCATCCACTCAGAAAATATCCCCAACAGAGTAAAAGGACAAATAATTTAGGAAAACAACTAAAGAAGAGGTATATGCACAAGGTAAAAATGATCCCCTGGAAGCAGAGCACAAGTTAAAACTATGGCATGGGAGACTTGAGAAACTATCAGTGCAAATCAACTCATTGGTTGAGGTAGCTATATTGTAGGGTTCAGATCCTCTGTCCATGTTTTCGTGTGTCCCTGGCTTATTTTTTTGACACCTGCCATCTCACTTAACCACTTTAACAGAGTTAAGTCTTTTTTTTACCTTGCGTTTCCCCCACCCTCCCCTCTGTTTTTTTCTCCCACAGGGCAGAAGAATGCTAGTGGAAAGAAGAAAAAAGGAAAGAGGAGAGAGAGAGAGAAGGGCAGGAGAAAAAAAAAAGATTGTTCAATGATGATGCTATTTGGTTCAAAATAAATTGATCAGGTGCGGAAGAATACTACTTGATCAGGTGCTCAATATAATGCATATCAGACATGAAACTGGGGCACATATCAATTATCAACTGCAGACATGAAACTGGGGATAAGAAGATATTTATATGCGGTTAGTTTTATATGGTTTAAAAAAGTTGTTATTTTATCAATGTTTATACAATCCGAAGACAAAGCCACCAATTTTCGTTTTTAAGAGCATACACACAGTTGGGGGTGTATATGGGGGTGTATATTAAATATACACCCCGAGTCACCAGAATCGTCTTCAATAGGGAGATGTAAATAGATGTAAATATAGATAACCACCATGAGGATGTAAAATAAAATGTATATTTACATATATTTTTACATCCCTTTCAGGCGGGACCCACCAGAAAAAAAAGAATAAAAAAGAATAAAAGTTAACATAAAAGGTTATGACCCACGGCTACACCCCGAATTTACACCCCCATTAGAGCAAAAAACATATTTACACCCCCGAAGGTGTAAAGGGGATGTAAAAATGACTTTACACTCCCGAATTTACACTCTCCACTGTTCATGCTGTAAATAACATCATAGCACAAGTCAAAAATTCAAATTTTCCATGTGGCGGCAAAACAATTTGCACAAAGAAGAGACTACAGGACAAAAACCTAAAGAAGAAGCGAGGAAATCCCCAAGAAAGAGCTTCCCCAAGTCAGTTTCATATGAAAAAGAGAGAGAGACAGGGCTATGAAAAAAGCAAATAATGGGAGAGAGGGAGAGAGGGAGAGAGATGGAATACTGCGTCGTGGTGTCCAAATTGGAAACATTGTCAGAGGGTGAATGATTTCTTTTTTGACCCAAGAAAAGTATGGATGTGTACCAAACTCCATACTTTGGTAGGTAGTTACTATCCGTATTATACGTGAACAATAGTTTTGAAAAACATTATAAAAGGTTTATTTGGATGAAGCAATTTTTAACTCTAAAAATTCAGATGACATTATAAAATTAATTTGTTTGTTTGGATTATTACAATTCATGTATCCTGATTGTCTATTTGCGTTGATATTTACATGTGTACAAAAAAAAGGCATATTGGAGGCCAACCACACTATCTATAAAACAGTATTTTATTATTATTATTATTATTATTAATGTTTCACCTTTTAAGCTCTCTACTTTTTAATGATTAATAATACATTTTTTTATAACTTTAATTCACTAATGAAACCATGAAAGAAAGAAAACTCTAATTAATTATTAAGAACGAATCAATACAAGAAACATGGGCGGAACCAAGGCAATGGCTGCCCTTGGCTGTAGCCTAGGGAAGGTTTGGGAAAAAAATAAATTAAATATATTTATAGCATAATATTTTAACTAAAAATAAATAAATATATATACAATTTCAACACCAATAAGCATAGTAAGAGGTCTTCCACATTTGTATTTGGTGTCAAAGTTTGTCCCAACATCAATTTAAAAAAATTTCTATTAATTTGTCTCCAAAAAAGAAGCATTTTACTACAGAAAATGTAAGTACAAAAAAAAAAATTATCATTAGATTTTAAGCTAATAACTTTAGCTAGCCCACCCATTGAAAAATTTCTGGTTCCGCCATTGACAAGAAACAAACAATCAATGATGTACACTGTAAATATAAGTTCCTCAACCAAATTCTCTAATCATCATCATAGCAAACCAAAGTAAACTCTCCAGACTGGCCTTCTACCAGCACTTGTGGTTAAGTGCGCTTGCACTACCTCCTAGCCGTCTTGGGTTCGAAGGTTGGCATCACTTTCTCTACAAAACCCAGAAAGTAAACTCTCCAGAGAGAAAAAATTATAGAGATATTTAGTCATATATTCATTCTTAACACTAATAATATAGATAAACCATACACCATTTAATTTATATAAACAAACCCAAAAAAAACCTAAAAAATGATAGTTGGGCCCTATTGAATTTCATTTTGATTATTAAATTACTTTGATGCCCTATTGAGTGTTTTGGACTTTTTTTATGAGGTTTTGGAGTTGAGTTTGTTTTAAGAAATCAATGGTAGTTTTGTAATTTAAAAGAAGTTAAAAGCCTTTTTGTTATATTATAAATGGGTTTTGGGTATATTTTTAAAGTCCATTTCATATAGGTTTTTTTATATATATAATTTGGGCTCTTAGAGCAACTCCACCCATTTGCCCTTAGCCATGGCAAGGGGGAGAGCTAGGGCAGGCCCCCTCCC